CCGGGTAGGGACACCTGAGGACACCTTGGGACATGTGGTGGGACATGGGGATGTGGTAGGACATGGGGACACCACGAGTTCGAGGAGCACATGGCCAAGGAGAGCCAGAGCCAGGGCCGGGACCTCACGCTGGAGGAGAACCAGATAGGAACACTTGGGGACACCTTGGAACGTGTGGTGGGACATGGGGATGTGGTAGGACATGGGGACACAGGGACACCGCGAGTTCGAGGAGTGCATGACCGAGGAGAACCAGGGCCAGGACCTCACCCTGGAGGAGAACCAGGTAGGGACACCTGGGGACGCCTTGGAACACGTGGTGGGACATAGAGACATCAGGGGATACAGGGAGATCAAGAGGCATCAGGACATGGGGGGACATGGGGACTTGGGGACACCATGAGTTCGAGGAGCGCATGGCCGAGGAGAGCCAGGACCTCACGCTGGAGGAGAACCAGGTGGGGACACCTGGGGACACGTGGTGGAGAAAAGGGGACATGCAGGGGTCCTCCCAGACCCCATGGGACCCCACTGATGGTGACACGCATGTCCCCAGGTGACACATGTTCTAGGTTCATCTGTGAGTGCAGGGAGTTGGACTGAAAGATCTCTAGATGTTCCTCCAAACCTTAAGGGTTCAATGATTGTAACATGGGGGGACATGGGGACATGTGGGTGACCTCATGGGACCCTGGTGACGCGCGTGTCCCCAGATGACACATGTTCTAGGTCCATCTGTGAGTGCAGGGAGTTGGACTGGAAGATCTCTAGATGTTCCTCCAACCTTAAGGGTTCAATGATCGTAATGCAGGGGGACGTGGGGACATGCGGGTGACCCCATGGGACCCTGGTGACGGTGGCACGGGTGTCCCCAGGTGAAGCGCTACCACCGCCTCAAGGAGGAGGCCAGCAAGCGGGCGGCCACCCTGGCCCAGGAGCTGGAGAAGTTCAACCGGGACCAGAAGGCCGACCAGGACCGGCTGGACCTGGAGGAGAGGAAGAAGGTGGAGACCGAGGTGAGCGCGTCCCCAAGTGTCCCTTGAGTGTCCTCATGTGTCCCGTGTGTGGCCTCTGTGTGTCCCCTGAGTGTCTCCACGTGTCTGTGTGTTCCTGAGTGTCCCCGGAGTGTCCCTTGCATGTCCCTCATGTTCCCCGAGTGTCCTTGTGTCCCCGAGTGTCCCCTGAGTGTCCCTATGTGTCCCCTGCGTGTCCCCATGTCCCTGAGTGTACACAAGTGTCCCCTGAGTGTCCCCTGATTGTCCATATGTCCCCTGCGTGTCCCCCGAGTGTCCCCTGTGTGTCCCCTACATTGTCCCCTGAGTGTCCCCGTGTGTCCCCCAAATATCCCCAAATCCCGTCCGTGTCTTCGTGTCCCTCTGTCCCCTCCGTGTCCCCTCTGTGTCCCCCCGCCCGTGTCCGTGTCCCCGTCACCTCCTGCCACCCTCTCCCCCCAGGCCAAGATCAAGCAGAAGCTGCGGGAGATCGAGGAGAACCAGAAGCGCATCGAGAAGCTGGAGGAGTACATTGCCACCAGCAAGTGAGCGATGTCCCCAAATTGTCCCCAGGGTATCCCCAGGGGGTCCCCAGGTTAGACATTGTCACCAGCAAGTGAGCAATGTCCCCAAGGTGTCCCCAAATGTCCCCAAGGTGTCCCCAGAGTGTACATTGCCAACAGCAAGTGAGCGATGTCCCCAGGGTGTCCCAAGTGTGTCCCTGAATTATCCCCAGGGTGTCCCCAAGATGTCCCCAGGGTGTCCCCAAGGTGTCCCCAGGATGTACATTGCCACCAGCAAATGAGTGATGTCCCCAAAGTGTCCCCAAGGGGTCCCCAGGGTGTATATTGCCGCCAGGAAGTGAGCGATGTCCCCAAAGGGTCCCCAAAATGACCCCAAAGGAGTCCTCCAGGCATGCCCAGAGTGTCCCCATGGTGTCCCCAGGATGTACATGGCCACCAACTAGCGAGTGATGTCCCCACATGTCTCCAAACTGCGCCAGGGTGTCCCCAGAGTGACCCCAAGTTGTCCCCAGGGTGTCCCCAAAGTGTCCCCAAGGTGTCCCAAAGGTGTCCCCAGGGTGTCCCAATGTTGTCCCCAAGGTGTCCCCATGGTGTCCCCTGAACATACGTTGCCACCAGCTAGTGAGCGATGTCCCCAAATGTCCCCAAAATGTCCCTTGCCACCACTAAGTGAGCAGTGTCCCCAAAGTGTCCCCAGGGTGTCCCTTATGTATGCCAAAGGTGTCCCCAGCGTGTCCCCCCCGTGTCCGCAGGATGTGCATTGCCCCCAGGAATAGAGCAATGTCCCCAAGGTGTCCCCAGGGTGTCCCCAAGGTCTCCCAAATTTGTCCCCAAGTGAGGCATGTCCCCAACCTGTCCCCAACGTGTCCCCAGGGTGTACATTCCCAGTAGCAAGTGAGCAATGTCCCCAAAGGGTCCCCACAGTGTCCCCAGGGTGTCCCCAAGGTGTCCCCAGCGTGTACGTTACCACCAGCAAGTCAGCCGTGTCCCCAGGGGGTCCCAAGTGGGTCCCCAAAATATCCCCAAGGTGTCCCCAAGTGTCTCCAAGATGTCCCCAAGGTGTCCCCAAATTCTCCCCAGGGTTTCCCCAGGGTGTACAATGCCACCAGCAAGTGCACGATGTCCCCAAATGTCCCCACACTGTCCCCCAGGTTTCCCAAAGGTGGCCCTAACGTGTCCCCAAATTGTCCCGAACGTGTCCCCAGGGTGTCCCCAACGTATCCCAAAGGGGACCCCAGGGTGTTCCCAAAGTGTCCCCAATGTGTCT